TTTCTTTTTTTTTTTTTCACACTGAAGGGATGCCTGTTATATGCTATTAAGGGACAAAGCAAATTGCTGAGAATGTGTGTAGTATAGTTTTGTTCTGGTAAAAATCAACAACAAAATCTTTCCCCCTCTCTCTCTCCTCCTCTCCACTTCTCCCCCCTCTCTCTTCCTCTTTGTCTTTTTCACTCCTTCCCTTTTTTCTTCCATCCCTCTTTTCTCTCTTTAAATTAGTATGGAGAAAAAGGGGCCAGGTGAGGCACTGGGAGGGTCACAGGGAGGCTGAGGGTGGAGGGTCATGAATTCTAGGCTACACACCAAGATCTCATCACAAAACAAAACAAAACGACAAAGCAAAACAAACAGAAGGATGGACTCCAAATGGCAAGAGGTGACTTTTTGTTTTGGTAATGCAGGTAATCTTTTTGTTTGGACCTGACTGGTTTCGGGGCTCTTGTCTCTGAGACAGTCGCAGGCTACATTCTTTCTCCTGCTAAGTATGTGGACTGTGGAGATGTCTCAGGGGTAGGGGTACTTGCTGCCAAGTCTGATGACCTAAGTTTGATTCCCAGAACCCAAATGGTAGAAGGAGAGAACAGACCACAGACCTCTGCATGCCTGCCATCACATACGTACTTGTACCCCACCAGCCACGTGCATACACACACACACACACACACACACACACACACACACACACACACACACACACGCACGCACACTGCTGAGTCCATTTAGTGTTATTTGTATGTAATATGTTTAGGGATGACAACTTGGGATTGGATAACCTATCAGGGGACTCATCCCAGGAGAAGATTAATTCTCCCCCTTTTAGTGGCCATTAATAGCCTGTAGCTCTTCACCAAAGAGTGAAGCCTTGTGAAAGATCACCTATCCACAGTGTCATGTCAACTGGTATCATTATACAGGTCTTATTTAGGCAGCTGTATTGTTGAGAATGTATGTACACAACCTCCTTCTCCCATATAGAAGACACTGTCTCCCCAGTAGCCATCTTGGTCCTGTCTTTTATTATCTTTCCTCTCGCTCTTCAGAGCCTTCGGTGTAGGGGGTGTGTTGTAGATGCATCATCTGGAGATGGGTGTCCCACAGCTAGTTGTCTTCTGTGTTCCGACCAGTTGTGGATTTCTGTGATGTCCTCCATGTGCTGCGAAGGACAGCTTCTTCTTCTTCTTCTTCTTCTTCTTCTTCTTCTTCTTCTTCTTCTTCTTCTTCTTCTTCTTCTTCTTCTTCTTCTTCTTCTTCTTCTTTTGGTTTCTGAAGCATCTCTTTTATTTTCCACTTAGATACAGTCTCCAGTTCAGCAAAGACCACAACAGGCGAGATATGCATCTGGTTAATTCTATCCACAGCATGTACTAGCAGAAGGGACATAAGGTGGTTGAACCAGAAATGCACCCCTCTTTCAAACACATACATGCAGGGTAATAAGTTTTCCCAACAGAATAAGTCAGATGGAAGGACAGCTTCTTTGATGAGTGTGGGAACTGCACTCATCGATGGGTTACAAGGATAGGCATCACATGCTAGCCTTGGTGCTGAAGAACCCATGACTAGAAATACCAGTGGGAGATGGATAAAAAGAGCCCACTAAGTACTCACTCTTTCTGTATCCTGTACAGAAATAAACTTCCTTCCAGAGAAAACTCTAGACCAAAGTTCCCTTTTCTGCAGCCTAAACCTTTCAAACAGTGTGACCTATTTGCCAACTGCACCAGCAAAGCCTGAGTGAGGAGCAAGACCCTACTTTATAAGACATTAGCATGATGCCCAGGCCCCACTGGCATGGACTCAGGGATGGAAGAGCCTTCATCAAAATCCTGGAGTATTAGTGGAGGCCTTGTGAAGAGCCTGGACTCCACTCCCACTGGCAGAAATGGCTGTTCCTGGTTTCATAACAAAAATCTAATACCAGGTAATTTATAAAGATCAGATGTGTCTAATCATAGCCTGGTGAGGGGCAGGTCATCTGAGGTTGTCAGAGAGAACACACTGGTCTGCATGCTCCATGGAAGAAGGAAGGCAAGCCAGCGAAGTGCCAGGTGAAGCCTCTTCTCAAGGGCCTTTATGATACTAATGAGGGGGGACCCTTTATGGTCTAATCATCACTTGAGGACCTTACACACTGATAACCCATGAATTTTGGAGGGGATACATTTAAACCATAAGAGGTGGTAGTGCTAGACTTCTCCTTGGGTGCTATGGCCTTTATTGCTGGAGGTAATAAAGACAGTCTCAGCAGATTGCCTGAGGAGATCACGTGAGAAGCAGAAATGTCTCTCCTCAACAGTAATGACAGTAAGTAGGAATGGTCTATGAGGACACCCATAGAGATTGAATGGGGGACCTGCAATCCTTCCTCGGTCTGGTGAAAATGAGGTGGAGTGCTGTCATTCATGGCCTGAGAGGCAAGTGGAAGGATTTTAAATAAAAGCCACAGGTCTAAATAGGAGCTGAAGTCATCATAGCACAAGAACATTGAGGCTGCAGTTGAAAATCACACGTGTTGCTAAGAACATTGAAGATTTTAAACTAAATGAAAAGTACAACCAGTCTATAGTAGGATCAAAATACAGAGATGTCAGAATTATTAGCTAAAAATTGAGGTGTCTCTCATAAAAAAAATACTTCAACAGTAACACACATGCTCAAAAGGAAACAATAGAAGTGAGAAAGGAGAGGTCACAGGAAGAACCAAGGGGAAATAGTACTGCCTCAGAGTCACAACACGAGAGAAAAGCTCAGTGGAGAGCTGCTGGCAGAATTGGGAGAGAGGTGGAAGAGTTAGTGAATCCATATAAGGAAAAAGAGCCTCAGGGGTCTGTGGAGTGTTACTAAAACAAACCCTTGACATTTACATGGTAAGTGTCACAGAAAGATGGGGCAGGACTAGAAAGTGTTTTTTCCCCCTTGTTTTTCTTGGGGTGGGGTGGGTTGAGTGGGTATTGAACCTAGGGTCTTATACATGCTAAACAAGCCCTCTACTAGTGAGCCAGGCCCCAAAATGTTTTGAAAGAAAGAAATGATTGAGGTGGTATTGTGTTCCTCAAAATATTGTGCACCCTAATAAACTTATCTGGGGTCAGAGACAGAACAGCCACAATATTAAACATAGAGGATAGGTAGTGGTAGCACACGCCTTTAATCCTAGCATTCCAAAGGCAGAAATCCATATGTTCAAGGATACAGACAGGCATGGTTACTCATGCCTTTAATCCCAGAAATCGAGCCTTTAATCTCAGGGAGTGAGGCAGAAAGCAGAAAGATATATAAGGCGTGAGGACCAGAAACTAGAAGCATTTGGTTGGTTAAGCTTTTAGATTTTGAGCAGCACAGTTCCAGCTGAGAGCCATTCAATGGATATGAGGACAGAGAGGCTTCCAGTCTGAGGAAACAAGATCAGCTGAGAAGTTGGCCAGAACTTTTAAGATTCATGCAACATCTGGCGCCCAACGTTCGTGGTATGAACTCATGAAAAAGCTGCTTGCTTGTGGCCTTGTGGGCCCCAACTCAGACCCCAGCTCCCTAAGCCGGTTGAGGTAGCACACGCCGGTAGGATTTACTGAAGGAGGCAGAAGCAGGAGGATCCCAAGTTTGAGGCTGGCCTAGGAGGCTTGCTTAGGAGAAGCTTCGGCCGGGGTCTAGCCACAAACGGCAGTGGGACCATGGAGGCAGTGGCTCCTGCTCCAACTTGCCGGCTGCTTCTCATCATGTTGGTGACTGCAGTGATGTTGCTACCTGGGACGAAGGGTTTACCTCTGCTGGTTCAGAGAAGAATTGCCAGGACCATCGCATTACAAGAAAGCATTGGCAAAGGTCAGTTTGGAAAAATTTGGCAAGACAAATGGTGGGGAGAAATTGCTGTGAAGATTTTCTCTTCTAGGGAAGAACATTCATGGTTCCAAGAGACAGACATTTATCAGATTACTATGATTGCTCCAAACCACAGAGGAGGCACAAAAAAAAAAAAAAAATCTTTAGGGAACCATGACCACGCCTAACAGTGACTTTGAAATCTTCAAAAGGAAGACCGGACTCCACAAAGATGATTCCACATGGACTATGGTAAAGCCATTAAGCTGATTAACACCACAGAAAGATCGACTTTGGACTACAAACTATTCAGGACAATTTTGAAATGGCTTGCTGAGATGATCCAGCCTGACAGACTACTTGAACAAGGACTTGAAACAAGCTCTGCACTTTCTCATTTTGCAGCGACTGGACAAATGATACAGGACTTGACAATTAACCCAAAATTTTTCTTTTCAGGATTCCTCAAAGATGTCTTCACCCCTAGAAAGTGGGAAGTAATTTTAAGAAAATGACACCCACATTCCCAAGAGGTGGGGTGGGGAGTTTTTTGGTCGTTTAATGAGTTATGGATATTGTTATTGTTTTATAATGGTTGGTTACAAGTTGTTAATTGTTAATGGTCAAGAAAAAAGCTGAACAAGGAGATTAGATTCAGAGTTTTTGTTTGAGAAAAAAGAAAGAAAAAGAAAAAAAGAGAATATAGATTTGAGGTAGATAATTGAATCTACTCTGAGAAAAAAGATAAAGAAATAATAGGACAAATGGGTAGATCACTGAATCTACACTGAAAAGAAAAAGGGGAAGATATAAAACTGACAAAAGGTAGACTACTGAACCTATTATGAAAAGAAAAAAGAGAAAATATGGGTATGATAAAATAAAAAGGGAGATTATGGAATCTACTTTTAAAAAGGAACTACGTGTTTTAAATAAGATAATTAATGAACATTTTTTGTCTGAGTTTGCCAAATGTTACTGGACTGGACATTGTTAATACACACACACACACACACACACATATATATATATATTGAAGTTTTTTAATCTGAATCTGTCAAATGTTAATGGACTCAACATCGTTAAATGTAATTCTTGACTGTATATATTATATATACTTATTGGATAGTTTTTCTTGTATAATTTAGTTACAAGCTTTTTTTTTTTCTCAGCAGCACGGTTCAGCTGAGAGCCATTCCGATATGAGGACACAGAGGCTTCCAGTCTGAGGAAACAGGATCAGCTGGGAAGTTGGATGCAACAAATGATGAAGCCAGAAATGGGGGCATAGGCCTGTAATTTCAGCGTTTGGATGGTTGAAGCAGGAGGATCACAAGTTCAAGGTTGACCCCTACTACAGAATGATTTCAAAGCCAACTTTAGTAATTTAGTAAGGCTCTGTCTCAGACTCATAAATGAGCAAGGGCTGGGGGCAGAGCTCCATGATGGAGTGCTTTTTTAACATTCAGGAAGGTCTGGGTTTAGTCTACTGTACTGCCCCAAACAAAACAAGACAGCAATGGCCAAGTTAAAGGAAAGTTGGAGTGGATCCAGCAATACCAGGTGAAACAAACTGCAGAACAGAGAATCGCCAGAGTTGGGCCTTACACAGTGTTAAATGAGTTAATCCAAAAGACAGCAATCTTCAGTGTTCTACCATCAAACAACGGAGCTCCAAATGCTCAAATATGTGCGTAAGCAACTGAGTGAACTCAAAGGAGTAGCAGAGGAAGTTACCATTGCCCCCGAAGTCTTCTCTAGCAATTGCTTCAACAATTAGATAGACAATTAGAAGGATGTGCAAAAAGTCAAGAGCATCACCAACCAACGTGATCTCATCAATATTTATAGTCCTCTCTTTCAAACATAGACTTCTCAAGTGCTCATGGAATACAGACCAACGTGGACCATATCCTGATCCATAAAACAAACTTAAGAGATAGAAACAACAGTGTGTCTTCCAGCCAGGAATCAAACTAGAAACCCAAATAATGACGAAAATTTTAGCTTGAGTAGAGGCAGGAAAAGGGAATAAATGCAGTCAAAAAGTGTGATGTCTTGATTGTGAAACCTGACTCACAGGGTCATGTGTTGAAGGTGTGGTTCCCTGCTGGTGGCACTGTGCTGGGTGGTGACAGAGACTGTAGGGGTGAGCCTAGCTGAAGGATGTAGGCCACTGAGGTAAGTTCTTGGGGGATGTCCCTTGTCCCAGCTTCTTCCTCTTGTCTGTCTCTGCTTCCTGGCCACCAGGGTGAGCTGCTTTGCTGTATCGTTCTCCTACAGCCACACTATTCCTCACCTCAGGCCTCTGACAGTGCCATCAACTGACCACAGACTGAGACCTGTAAAACCATGAACCCAGATCCATCTTTCCTCTTTAGGTTATTTCTCTTGGATATTTGTCACAGTGAGGAAAAACCAATATAGAAAGGAAGATATCAAATGGTCCCCATCTTCAGAAGACACACAGGAAAGCTCACGGAACCTACCAACACAGCCATCACACTAGTAAGTGAGTCAGCAAGGTTGCAGGAAATAAGATTCCAACAGCTTATTCTGTCATCACACACATGGGCCATTTGTGAGCGCTACTCACATAGTGCAAACCCAACAAAACGTGCATAGGACTTGTATGCTGAAAAGCACATGATGTTTGTTGTGGTTTGAATGTGAAATGTTCCACATATGATCATGTTTGAACACTTTGTGCCCTGCTAGTGATGCTCGAAAGGTTGTGGGACCTTTAGGAGGCGGAGCCTCCCTGGAGGAAGTCAGTCACCAGGGGTGGGCCATGAGGCTTTTTAACTCGGCCCCAGTTTCTGCTCTCTCTGCTTCCTGAGTGTGGATGCAGCATGACTAGGCAGCCTCCTTCTCCTACCACTGGACTTCCCTGCCATGGTAGACTGTATTCCCCTGGAACTGTAAGCCAGAACCAACTCTCCCTTAAAATGGTACTGGCAGCAATGGGAAAGTAACTAATACAATGCTCATGGAAGAAATCAAATGAAGTTTACATAATCACGGAGCCGTGTTACGTTTATCACTGGAAAGCCTCAACATGATGAAGATATTAATTTAAGATTTCTTTACAATCCTCAAATGTAGGCACCATTACCATAAAGTTTACACAGAAAGGTAAAGGAACCAGAAAGTCAGAACAAGGCTGTAAAAGAACAAGTGTGAAGGATTGGACATTCTGGATATCCTGCAGTGGTCAGGACAGTACGGATGGAGCCAGTGAGAAGGCTTACTGGGTAGACGGGCTTCCCACGCACGTGTGAGTTTGGTCCCTGGAACCCGTGGTAGACAGAGAGAACTGACTCCGTGAAGCTATCCTCTGATCTTCACCCATGCGCCTTGGTGAGCACACCCCCACATCACCCCACCCGAAATAATAATACATAAAATACTTAAAGCAAACTAAAGACAATGATTTTATGGATATTTGCCAGGTTAGAAAAGGAGCTTGTGGGTTTCTTTTTCTCATTTGGAAATTATGAACTTAAAACATCCTAGTTTATCATTGATGGTTATTTGATAAAATGCAGCACAATGTTTAAAAAATTAAATAAAAATGAAAAGTAAGGTGGTTACTTACTTTGTCAGAATTTCTCTACAACTGTCTCTGGATTGTGGACTGGCCCTGAGAGCAGAACCACTGAGGAGGAGCCATTACTACATTATCAACTGTGTATGACAGAACCCTGCTGTATTAACCACAGTAGCACCACTGTGGTGAGGAGAGGCCACTGCCACATTATATAGTGTATACTGTAATACATTGCTGCATTAATCACAGTATGGCAGATCAGTGAATCTCAGAAGATGGAACACCAACCCCAGGCTATCCCCGGGATCTGCTCAGTGCCTCACTGTATTATTCAGGTTTCTCGTCGTTGTCATCAAACACCTGACTGGAGCACTCAGTGGATAAATGTCTTGGGCTCACAGTTTTCAGGAACCAAGTCCCTCATGGTGGGGAAGGCATGGCCACGGGAAGCAGCAGCCTGCAGCATGTTCACACCTCTGGGTCAGAAAACAGAACTCTCAGCTGGAGCCAGTTATGGGTTCACTTTCAAGCCTTGTCCCCAGAGACCTGCCTCTGCTTGCTAGACCACAGTCCCAAAGGCTTCATGATCTCCCCAAATATAACATAACCATGTGACCACATGCCTGAACCATGACCTGTGGGAAACATTCCCAACTCAAGCAAGAAGGATCAAAAAGATAAGGAAGAAATTTACAAGGGAACAGAAACCATGTCACAGCAAGACTGACACTTGTCACGGATCAAGGCTCGAACCTTCTCTGTCGGCAGTCATTATGTGCCTGGTTATTGCACACTTGAGTAGAAAAGAACACTGGTTTATAAGTGCCCTTGGTGGAGCAGTAAAAATCATTATTAAAAAAACCCCAGGCCTTGAGTATAACTGTCTTTCTCCATTCTGTGTGACGAAATGGCGTGTGTATAGCATCCTGCTGCAAACCCAGTATGGTGGTTGTCTTGAGAAAAGGTACTTAGGCAGGTGAGTGCCAAGCCAAGTGCTAAGGAGAACTGTCAAAATGTTCAGCATTGCTGTCCTTCCCATGAAATCATTTGTTTTGGAAAATGTAGCTATATTTAATAAGCTACTTGCTTTTTCTTCCGGCCCCACTCCTAGCTGAAGGATTATTGGCAGCTGATGACTGCTGGGGAGGGATGGTCATTTTTCTTTGTGGGTGTGGCCAGCGGTGGGTTGCCACGTTCCAGTGGATGGCCCCACATATGGTCAGCACTACTTGGACTCAGTAGGCTGTAAAAAACATCTGACAGCACTTTACCTTGAAAACACGACTGAGAGACGAACAATGGTTTTTGACATAAGTATCTGGTGTATAACTTTCTTTTGGAGAATGGCTGAAAAGAGCCTGGCACTTTAAGAAAGTGAAGCAGTGTATATTGTCATGAGTAAAATCTGTCTTCCAGGGCAAAACTACAGTTTGAAGCATATCCGCTGCAGTTAGTATAACAGCCTCCTCCCCGTTTCTAGAGATATTTTGGATGAAATTAGGGCATTGATTGTTGTGATTAAAAAAAAAATATATAAGAAAGCGTGCCAGCATTTGGAAGATTTTCATAACTCAGTGAATCAACATTCCCTAGATGACCAGTGAATGACGTTGCCAATCACACAGAGCATCCATCAGGTTGCAAGACAGTTTAATATATTATCTTGTGATATAGCAGAATATGAAAGTTCATTCACAAGACTTAATATTCTACACTGAAAATAGCCTTTAAGAAAATAAGCACTTGTCAAATTCTGGTAGAATTTCCTCCACAGCCATCTGAAAACATTAATTATAACACTTCTCTTTTAATTACACATCTCTGTGAGGCTGAATCCTCTTCATTCCCTTCAACTAAAGCAACATATCACAACAAACTGACTGTAGAAGCAACATGAGAATCCAACTCTTTCTATTAAGTTGCATGTTTGCAAAAATCTGTAAAATAATTTCATTTTTTTCCTCACAAAGTTTTGTTTGTTTAGGGTTTGTTTGTTATACAGCCTAGCCTAACTTAGCCTGCCTAATACAGACCTGTGTTTCGGGGAGATAATTGTGGCACTAATGTGGAGGGCAGGACAGGGGTGGGTATGTGGCTTCAGGCTGAGAGAGAAAACAGGGAAATGGATCCTTGAACTCTTTTAGTCATCTAGAGCAGGAAGGATCTATGGTGGAGGTGTATGGAGAAGAAGAGGAAAAGATGCCACAACCCAGAAACATCTGCTTTTGGTTTTTCTGACTCTGGAGAAAGGGAGAGGTGAGAGAGAAGGCTGAGGAAACTGGATTTTGGTTCCTGGGAAGATGCTGAAATGGTTAACAGAATCAGTGCCTCAGTGTGAGGAGCAGAAAAGGAAGCAAGGGATTGCATTTAGATCGGTTAGCTGCGGGTTCCTTGTTAGTCAGGATGAGAATGAGAACAACAGATGTGTGTTCGGCTCTTGCTGTGTGCTCTTGCTGCTCATCCCTTCAGTGTCCAAACACGACAACCCATTTGTTACACAAACACCTTAATAACGAAAGTGTGTTGCTCTTCCCACCTCAGAGACAGGGAACCTGAGATATGGGAGCGGAATGATCTGTCCGAAGGTCACTGTTACAACGTGACAGACTGGGGATGCGGCTATAGACTCTAAACTTTCAGTTAGTTGTTCTACATGTTGGTTCTCAGTAGCTGATCAATAATCTGAATCTAGGGATAGAGAGGGCTTGCGGGGGGGGGGGGAGTTCACACCATGATTTCTGTTTATTAGTTCTGTCAGAAGGTCTTGTATTCAGATTTCCTCTACTGTGACAAATACCTGAGACAAATAATTTAAAAAGAGGAAAGATTTGATTTGGCTCAGAGTTTCAGAGCTTTCTTTCCATGGCAGCTCATTCTAAGGTTTCGTGATAGCAAGCTGTGAAGAAGCAAAGTTGATGTCCCATGGTGTCCAGGAAACTGACACAGAAGAAGGGGCCCAGGACAGGATAGAACTCCAAGAACAAGCCTCCCAGAGACCTCCTCATTCCAACTAAGTTCCACCTCTGAAAGTTCCCACCCTGCCTCAATAATGCCATGAAGATTTGATTCCATCAATGGACCAATCCATTGATTAGGTCAGAGTCTTCAGGATTCACCTGGCAGTGATTGGATTCCCTAGCTGAGGACACAGCCTTCTGAGGGAAATACTTTATATTCACATTGTATTCATTAATTTTCTGTTGCTGTGATAAAACTATGACCAAGGCAACTTATGGAAGGAAGTTTATTTAGCATATGGTTCCAGAGGGATAGAGTTCATCAGGGCTGGAAGATGGCAGGCCTGGTAGCTGGAGCAGAAAGCTGAGAGCTCACATCCTGAACCAAGAGCACAAGGCAGAGAGCAAACTCAGAGAATGCAAGTCTTTAAATCTCAAAGCCCAGCTCCAGTGGCACACTTCCACTACAAGGTCATACTCCTAAGCCCCCTCAAAGAGTGGGGACTAGTCATTCAAATGCCTGAGACTACGGAGGCGGGGCATCTCATTTGAACCATAAAACATATCATATCTGCAAGATTTTTTCTTTTTTTTCCTCTCTCTGGCCACATTGGGTGCTACAATGTTGAGCAATCTCTATTAAACATCCTCTGTAGATGGCCATATGATGATGTGGCAGAGCCTCTTAGGATTACTCTCTATGATAGGAGAGTCCAATCTGAAACAGATCTGCACCCAAGAGCCATAAACTTTAAAAATGGACAAAAAAAAAAATGCCTGCAAAAAGCTAGTTGGTAGACATGAGGCTTTCTAAAGAACTGCAAAAGTGTACCACATTAGTGACTTTTGTGTCACTGTGATCACAGTCCCTGGTAGATACAATTTAAGGTAGGAAAGATTTATTATCGTTCATGGCTTGAGTTCATCATGGCAGGAAGGGTGTGGAGCAGAAGCTCAGATCATGGCGGTGGGACACGTGTGGAAGGTTGTTCACATCATGGTAGACCAAGAAGTAGAGTGAGCCTGGAAGTGGGAAAGGATAATGTCTTCCCAAGGACTTGCACAAGTGATCTGCTTCCTCCATTTGATCCTGTCTCCTAAGGATTCTACAGCCTTTTCAAATAAAACCAGCAACTTGGGAACCAGCATCCTAAATGTGAACTTGTGGGGGTCATTTCAGGTTTCAATTATAACATGAACTTCTCTAATATCCTTGAGACGATGAATGTGTTTAATGCCCTGCACACTGATCTTCAGGGAGCAGCATTCACGCAGCATTCAACCTGAGCAGTGCACTCTTGAGACACCTCATGCAGACAGACATCTTTCTTCACCAATTAACATGCTTTTGTGTCCTAGTATCCTGTGTCTGTTCTGAGGTTCTGTGTCATGTCAACATTTAGCTTTACTTCTTGGGTTAACTTAGAAATGATGGCATTCTTTCTCAATTTTGCTTTTACCTCATCAATCACAATTTGGAATTTAGCTCATGCCAATAAGACATGTCACAGTGTTACGGTTTTGTCACTCCCATTTGGTGCTGACAACACAGTACAGGTTCCTGACTCAGCATCTGGGAGGGGGTCAAGATGAAGGAAGATGGGTATTCTTAGATTCTATGTGAGGCTTCATGGGTATCTGAGAGGGAGCCTTGGATAGATATGTGCCTTTCTTATATGGGCTCTCTTTGGGATGTAGACAGTAGGTCCTTAGGAGTTGAGTGTGGCATCAGTGTCCTTCCAATCACATCCTGAAAAGCTTCTGTTACAACCAGGATGAAATCCCCAAGAGGTTTATTTCAAGATGTACTCCAGAGTCCTTGATTTATGGCCCAATTCAACTGAAGACAGTCAGTTCAATCAAAACAAGTATAAAATGGACAGATGTGCAATGCTGGGGTGTCTCATTGAAACCAAGGCTTTATTTCTTTGAGATTTGGATCCATATGTATAGCATACTTCTTATTTCCAGACTTTTACATGACACATTTTTTGAAGTAATGTATTCCAGATGTTTTAACCGCCTGGATGTTCCTAAGATCTTCAGCATACTGGATTCAACTTGTTATTTGAAATTTAAATAAAATTGGTGTTAGTCTTATAAACCTGAGTCCCCCTGGGAAAAGAATGGCAGGATTAAGATCTGAGGCAAGTTTCTGAAGCACCTGGAGAGAGCCACAGTGCTGAGCTGTTAGCTCCTAGGGAGAAGGGAAGGAGGAAAAACCAGTGTTGCCAGCAGGCTAATGAGCAGTGGAAGTGGGCAAGGCAGCAGTAGGCAGGTCAACCAGGGTGCTTCCTGGTCAACCAGCTGGGGGTCAGGAAGAAATACCTGGTTTTCCCTTCTGAGTTCTCTAGGAATTGCTGATGCCTCCCATTGGCTAAACCCTTTAGCCAGTAGAGGATACACCAGCACCTGGCAATTCAGACCATAGATGTATTTGCCCTCCAGGGGCACAGAGCAGAGCAGTGAAAGTGGCAGAGGGAGCCAGTGCAAGCTCCAATCTCATTCACAGTAGACATACTAGGAGTCAGAAAGGAGCCTAGAAGAAAATAGCTTATATGCTATAACACACAGCTTCTGCATCTTGCAATGCCTTAGACAGAGAGTTTATTTATTGCAGTCATGTAATGATTAATGATGAAGGGTTGGCATGAGACAGTCACTCAGGTGCCATAGCTAACAGTACTGTAGGTTTTCATGTTCCAGAGGGATCATGACTCTTTAGTGCTGATAATGGGAGGAAATTGTGCACGTGATTTTGGCTGCTTCATCCCAGAAGTGACAACCATCCTCTCCAGCCCATTGACTGCCCCCTGGCTCTCTTGCTTCATCTCCTTGTCCTACTTTAGATCCCTTCCCTCTTGACTGATTTTCTTCTCTTTCCTTCTAGCTAATTTAATATCAAATTTCTGCTTAT